CTACCATTTTTTGGCTGTAAATGATACTCTTGTTTAAATGTAGATATAGGTTTGCTACTGTATATTAATATATAATAAAGTACACGGAAAAACAGTTACTGAAAGTATCTACTCCAGATGAGTGAGCCAAGAAAATGGGGCCAGGGAAGAGTGAGAAAACGTGCGAGGTTTTGTGAACACTCTGTCCGGGTCCCTAACTTCAGCTCCTAACTAGAGAAATCAATTCAGTTAAGTGTTATTCTGTGGGAATAAGAGGAAAGCCTCGAAATTCTAAACCAAACTGAAGCAAATGAGTCAGCCACTATGAAAGTATGAGTTAAGGCATTATGAGTAATGTCTCACAGCACAGCTGTGTCGAGCTTCTAGAATAATATTAATATAATTCGACCGTTGTTGAAGAACTTTAAGATAATGACGTGTCTATATATTTGAAGTGTACCATAATTACATTTCATCTATGGTTTATTCGCTATTAGTATTGTTAAAGTCACGTTAATAGGTCACGTAATAACTATTTAATATATAATATATCATACAGGAACTCACTACATCACGTTATTTTGTGATCTTATTATTTTATTCCATATCAAAATCATCTAGCTCACGTCACGCTATCATCTATTAATACTTTAAAAGTTGACACTAAACATGGTGCTAACATCTAGTAAGACGGTCAAATGTGATAAATGGTTAGTACGAATTCCCAAATCTCAACGAATGTCCCTGGTGCAACAATTTGTGCCATAGAAAGTGTATTAATGGTAGCCTCGGTAATCGGTTGTCTTCAATGCTGCGCTAAAATGATCCCCGGCTTTGGATATTATGCTTACGAACTACTGTTACTACTGTTAATTTACAGTCCAAAATTTTCAATCCATACGACCGTAACAAACTGATAAATAATATAGGGGAACAGATTAGGAGTTCCGAGAAAAACAGTGAACTTTGGGATGAACTATCGGATAAACTAATAAGGTGCACATACCAATCTCCTAAACAGATCCCGTGGCCTGGTGATGACGAGCTTGGAATCCTTTCCTTGAATATTCGCTCTATTCACAAAAATTTAGATCAAATTATCGACCAGTTATGCGAAGTATGACGTCTTAATGAAACCAATTGCAACATAACTAAACTCGCTAACGGTCTGAATGATTTACTTATTGATGGTTTTCATCCTCCAACCTACCAAGCCCCAATCAGAAAATCTTGCAAAGGAGGAGGCCTACTTACTTATGTCAACAAACGGGTATGTAGCTTCTCAGATGATATCGAAAACTTAACTATGGATCAAGACCCGAGTTTGTATGGCGAATTCCTGATCACTAAGATCCGATCATGTAAAAAGCTAAATAACACAGTTTTGTTAGTCAGTGTTTACAGATCGCCGTCCAGCAATTCTTCTAAGTTTATCGAAAGTTTCGACGAGGTCCTATCAAAATTAAGATCTCACGGGAGAAAGCAGATTGTTCTAGCGGGTGACTTTAACATTGATTTAATAAAGCACGAATGTGACGAAAAATCCCAAAATTTGATTGACATTGCCGCTTCCTACGGTTTCACACAGGTTATATCCCGACCTTCCCGCATAACTGACCACAGTGCCACCCTGATTGATCATGTTGAAAAATTATAAGCTCTAGCGTATTGGCACTCGACTTATCTGATCATTTGGGTACATATGTACGCCTTTCCCTCGCTCCATCTTTCGCCGAAAAATTTAGTCTCACGAAATTTGGTTTACAACAATTTTAGTCAAAAGTTTGACTAAATTTATGGTAGACTAAATTTGTCGTTCCTAAGGTAGTACTATAATTTTAATTTATCCCCGGATTTGTCAACTCACAACAAGATTAAGGAACAGAGAAAGTATAATCAGCAACAGCCACGTTATTCCTTGAATGTAGTCATCCTTCCGGTTTTCAAATAAAGCCATGAATCCTGCTGCTTGAAAACTGGTTCAAATCTATAAGTTTGATAGAAGAAGCTTGCGCTATTCACAATTTCAAGAAATGGTCGAAAATTCAACAAAAGAAAACCAGCAGCCAATAAAATTAAGTAAGATGTTCAATTTATTGTGAAATGTGAAGATTTATTTCGTCCACGCTTCTGTTATTAGACCATATCTGTTGAATTAGTATAACAATAAAGAATGATTGATTGTCTAGACTTGACTTTTTGAAGATCTGGTATGTTAGATCTGGTCACGTCCGGTCTTCTACAATGCATTACGAAAATGTGGGAAGTTTTCGGATAATCTCATCTCCATTGTCTTGGCTTAATTTGAGCCACTACTTGTGGCTCAAATTAAGCTAAGACGATATAGTTTGAGAAAATCCCGGTCCCGGTCTTAATCCCGGTCCCAGTACCGGCCAAGAAAGCGGTGATCCCGGCCCAGGTCGAGCCATCGCCACAAGCAATCATCCCATATCCGTATCAGCGACTACACAAAAAATGAGAAAATATAAATTAATTAGTGTACAAACAAAATATCTAATTATTAGTTATTAGTGTAGCTGCATTGTTTTAAGTCGACGTGAAAATGTATAACTCTTTGACAAAATGTATGCAGTTGTCCTCGAATTGTCAGGTGTCATAAGTACAACTAAAAGTAAAATACTTAGACTGTATACCTTCAGCCTACCAGGTATAAAATAACTTCATGACCCTTGTAATAACCGCTTTAATAAAAGTGATAAACTACATTAGATGTCTCCGATAATCTTCGATGGTTACTTCTAACTTCCAATATTTCATCGTATTAATTTCTATTATATTAGTATTATATTAGTATTAAGGCGCAGAGATTATGTACAAATTGTCGCACGTGCATACCGAATAATAAAATTGCGCGCAAGCGTCATTCGTGCTGGACCTTGCATTGTATTTGTATGATTGAAATGAATTCAGGCGCGCATCTTACATAGCATTTCTAATTTTCGTTGCTTAGTTACGCGTCAAGCGTCCACCATAACTGATCGTGCACCATTCATTCAATCAATTTTCGTGCACTTTAAATTGTATAATGTATTGTGATTCGTGAAATTTACAGAAATTTGTTTACATAGCCATCCGAAGACTTCGTGTCCTCCTGCAGGATGAGTTTCAACAGATGGATAATTTGTCTTTGAAATGAGAAATCGATCCGGGCCATAACTGTGTCCAGTGCACTTTCTCATTTTACCAAATATAAGTCATAATATAATCACAATCATTGGGAATACATATCACAAGCAATTACAAATTAATACGATAATCGGTTTCACTTAGTGTTCGAAATTATAGTTCTTAATTTGAACTCAATTAAATGATTTTCTTTATTTACATCAATATCCACTGGCATTTGTTTATTCAAGTTTTACTTCCAATACAAACTGATCTAACTTCTATGCAATCGAGCTCTTTCTCTTCACTAGATCAAAATTCTTCAGAATGAACTTGCGTCAAAATAATGATATGAACTACTGCCGAGAAAAGTTGGCTGACTCCAGCAGCTCTAGTCCAAATTTATCAGATAAAGCATTTCTTACATTGAATGAAAGTCGAGATGACACGAGAACAAGTGCTTTCAGTCCCTATCAGAAAAATAGTATTCTCGAACCTTTCAATGGGGAGCAAGAATTTCTGGACGATGCTCAACGTTACTTCAGCTCATTCTTCGCTTCACCTGGTCATCCTGAGGATGGCCTTCTTTCTGCATTACCCCCAATACCTACGTTTATCCCAGCTAATGCCACAACCGCACCCACTAAATCAGAACTTGCAGAGATGAGACGAGAGCATGTGATGCCGCTTAGAGGGCCCCCGAGTCAGACCGAGTGCTATTGCAATTGCTGTGTCCAATGGCGACTGTACTTCAACCCTCCTGCAAGCGAGCTTAATGCCAGACCTGTCCCAAAACTTTGTTATTGTGTTTGCTGCAGAAAATGGGACCTCTATCTTCACTTTACGTACAATACACAGATGTTCGGTTATTATGACAACCAGATGTATTCCATCTCTCATAACGACAAAAAGAATTCTACCATTCCGAAAAATAGTGAAGTCAAGTCAAAGAGAAAGAACAAGAGAACAACTCAAAGAAAACCAAAAGTCGAAAACAAAGAAAACGTTACTTCCACCAAAAAGCGAAAAACTCCAGCAAAATTTTCTCAGAAAAGTTTAATGAAAAAGGACTCTACTCTGAAGCTGAATACTTCATTTCAGCCAAAAATCCCTTATTTGACTCCTCTGGATAGTGATAGCTGATTTCCTCAGAGAATTGTAATTGAAGTACTGAGCCCGGTTATTTTAAATCGAATCAATTATAAACGCAATTTATTTTAATGTTTTCTATTACATTCCTATCATAGAGAATTTACTATCTAAAATATTGTTGGTAATGGGTCGTTCAAATATTACTTCTGCAAGATTTTGCCTTTTTTAGACCTCTCCCCCTCCTTCAGCAATTTTTAACATGGCTATTGAGTGAAAATTACATTAGCGTCAGTATTTCTCAATTTCTGCCAATATCGAAACCCCCTCCCTTTAGGATTCTGACGTAATATGTGAACCCTCCCGAATTAATATTTTACCATTATAAAATAATCAACAAGCGGTGAACGTACACTTCTTTAAAAATATTTGTCCAGGAAGTGGAACGAGATATTTCGTGATCAACAAACTGACATACAGACATAGAATGATCGTTTTTATTTCATTCGTTATTTGTTTAATTGACGTTAAAATATATTGTTTGTATGTTGATGTTATTACAACTTTTAATCGAACTAGATTCATATCACAGAATTTTACTTCTCAAAGTAATTGGATTAGGGCTATTTAAAATTATGGCTTTGGACTGGTAACAATAAATAAAATGCAAATTCCTGTATTACAATATACTAACTCCCCCTCTCATACAGTAGTGCATTAAATCATGGTCAGATATCAACCGATTAGAAATGTTATTTAAATGAACTCTAAAGTCCAAGTCAACTACTATAATAATAAATGTTCAGCTAGCAGCCGGGTTAGAAGCAAAGCAAGGTGACAGAGTGTGGTTGAAGAACCAGACAGATGGAGAACTAGATGATGCTAAACTCGTAGAAGGTACTAATATCTGCATTCTGCAACGTAATTTTGTTCACTTAAAAGTCCAAATTGAAGATGCAATAAAAATAAGAAATTCGCCGACCGACACAATAGCTATGTGTAAAACTGAATGCGGAGGGGGGGGGGGGGGTAAAAATGTTCCAAAAATGATTACGTAATATGTGAACGACCCCTAAGTACCATTATTTAAAAATTTGATCCCCGGTTCCACTTCCAGTCCTGCTCAAGTCTGTCTTCCTTAGGATTGACAGGTGAACGGAATGTTTACAAAAGACGGGGCCAGCCCGAAGAGAAAGGGCTCAACATGACGAAGCCGAAACACCTTACTCTTCTGGTCGATGTCTCCGGCAGCATGTATAGGTAAGGTGTTTGCTGTAATAATCTCTGAGAATGGGAGAGGTCTTATTTTTGTTGAATCCCTTGAATGATCGGTGATACAGTATGTTCCTGTCAAAAGATTAAAGCAACAGTTTAGGCCCAGCTTGTTTTGGCCAGATAAAGACAGTAAGGTAATATCATCTTTGCTGTAAGATTGCGTTTAATAATAATTATTACATTATTACCACTGGTTAGGTTTAACGGGTTAGACCAGAGATTACAGCGTGAGTTGGAGCTGATGGCAATGGTGATGGAGGGTCTACAAGGCTCGGAGAGCAGGGTTAGATATGATATCATAGGTCACTCAGGAGAGAATCCTCACATCTCGTTCGTCAACAGGGACATGCCACCTGATAACGAAAAGAAGCGTCTTGAAGTCTTAGAGGTAGATAAAGTTCGGCAAATAGGGTCTCGTTTAAATTAGCTTACTACTGAACATTTATTCGACTAAATATTGCTGAGTTTAGGTTTATTAGTTGTTTAAATGACTCTACTTCATATAAATGCGTGTTTATCTATCGTCACACAGCATTTGCCCAGGAGATACATGCTCACTCCCAGTTTTGTTGGTCAGGTGACCACACTGTCGATGCTCTAAACCAGGCAATAAAACATGCCGGAGCTCAAGAAGCTGACGACAGGATCGTCATCGCATTCAGGTAATCATCGGTTTCATTATCTTCGTCAGCTGTACACGTACTCTACTTCTAGTTCGACTCACACTCTAGTTTGACACGATATGTAGTTCGACAAGCCCTGAATTCTACCGAGTTACACCCCTGTTCCATGCCCAATGAACGATGAACGAGGATGCACACGAGGATATGATTTTCATAATTTCGTCGAAATTTCATATATGTATCCTCGCGGTGATCCTCGTGCAATCCTCGTGGGATCCTCGCGATGATACTAGGGGGTGCACGATAAAAATAAAATTGCTCGGATTTTAAAAATTTTTGTACCACTGTTTTCTAGAGACTGTGAGAATTTTCACAATACCAAATTTGTCATACCTTTTTGGAAAGATCAGTGATTTATTCGAATTTCATCATCGTGCGATGAGGAGAAAACCCTCGCGATACCCTCGCGAGGATGGAAATGTCCAATAATTTCATCGCGAGGAAATCATCCTCTTGGGAAATTGTGCACGATGATGATTTACCCTCGCGAGGATGGGTATTTGCGCGAGGATTTGGAGGCAATATTCGACGAATTTATGGAAATCGTATCCTCGTGCCCATCCTCGTTCATCGTTCATTGGGCATGGAACAGGGGTGTTAGAGTCAAACCGAGGAATGATTAGCGAGGGGAATTTTATCGTTAAACGTTATCGACGTTGAATGTCTAGTGTTATCTGCATCAGATCTGTAATCTATATCCAAGTATTGATACAATATGTGTAAATAACAAAAATTAATAGTCTGCACACATTCGAAACTAAACTGAAAGACCTTGTTATCTTATGTTTTAAATGCAGAGCCTACAAAAATCAACTTTTTTGGATAATACAATAATTAAATTACTTTAGTGAAGGTTAATTCTAATGTTTTGGGCGTTTACCAGGATGTAATCTTCCTGGTAATGGATAACAGCATTACCAATAGACAGCAACTCGCTTGGTATATTTATGGGGATACCGTCTTGCACTTCCTCTTCCAACAACTTTGCCAGGCTTTTATCTATCGCTGAATTTAGAAGAAGCTCAATAGCATACAACATTGGGTCGCCGTCATCTAACTCCTTCAAGTCCTGACCATTTTCAGATTCAACATATAATTTCCCGGTCCAAACATCAACATTTGCAGTAACACGTGGCAGCAATAAGTATCTTCCATCTTTTTTAGCTAATTTGACCGTTCCCTTGAAATCAGCTTTGGATTCGAATTCCGTTCTCATCTCGACTTGCGGGGAATCAATAGACAAAATTATTCTTGCTCTGAGGTTGACTGTGGCAGAAACTCCAGAGGTAGTGATTTGAACTTCAGGTAGTGAAGTACTCCTTATTTTCATATCAGTTACAGTAAAGGTAGCCAAATCCTCAAGTTCTTTGGGAAGTTCCACATTAAACGTGCTTAAGTGTTGTCCACTACGAAAAACATCAAACCTCTTATTGCTGCCAGAACTGCCACTTTCCTTCAAACTGAACTTCATCAAATCGAAAAGATGCAAACTTTGGATTATTCTAGAGATCATGTCCTCCGTTACGATAACAGAGACCCCTCCTTTTGAGCCTGGAACCACGTCACACCAGTCTTGGTTAAACTCTCTCTTTCTTCTGAGTTCTTGGAATTCTTCTATCTCGTTTGCACCAGCCGGGATGTTGATGAATGGTGGCGTCACTGTTTCGGAAGGCTCCGGTTGGCCGATCATTTTAATTAGCACTGGTGAGACAATGATAGCACAATCTTCCCCTCCTGTAATAACAGAGGGATGGAAATCCAACTTTAACTCCCCTCCTGATTCTAGATTCAACGAGACGTCCTTGTTAAACACAGCCTCTTCAAATTTTTGTAGAGCTTCATCGATAGCCTTATTCGCTTCTCTGCAAGCTAATCTCTCCAAGAAAAACTCCACTTTGCCTGAAAAGATCCGAGAGATAATGTTGAGAAGCCAACTGAGCCAAGAGCCACTGACTTTTATGTTGAGAGATCCTTTATTTGCTTTACAGGCGTTTAATTCACGAGAAAATCCAATTCGTCCATTTGACTTGCGTCCGAGAACGACACGGTTTTCCAAACTGAACTTGGTTGAGAGGACATCCACATGACCACCTAAAGAGAAAGTTTTAAACCACACCTTTTTTTTCACACTCCAGCGTCCTGACGCATTAATCGACCCGCCAATACTTGCTTTTACAACAAGTTGACCAACAAGTCCATCGCTTCTATCGTGTTGAAGGTTGATATTAGGACGGAGATCCAGTGAGGTCACTTTTATATCATAGTCACACGCGTTCACACCTTTACAATTACTTCCGCTGAATGATTTTCCCTGAAGAAAATGTTCATTTATTTCATAACCAATTGTGCAGTGGCTGAAGGCGTATTATATTTTACAGAGTTAGACTTAGAGTCAAACCAATGAATGATTATTTTGCTAAATTTTCCCGTGAGACGCAGCCAAACTGTGATAAAGAACTTGGTAATACCCTGCTCGTCTTATAGTTATACCTTACTCGGGAATATTATAGCGGGTTAATTTATGACTGGGAAAATTAATGACCGGGAAAAATATGGCGGAAATTTCCAAAACCCACCAAGCATCAAAATGTATTACTATTACGTTACCTTACTCGGGAACATTATAGCAGGTTATTTATTACTGGGAAAATTAATGACCGGGAAAAATATGGCGGAATTTTCCAAAACCCACCAAGCATCAAAATGTATTACTATTAGTTTACCTTACTCGGGAACATTATAGCGGGTTAATTTATGACTGGGAAAATTAATGACCGGGAAAAATATGGCGGAATTTTCCAAAACCCACCACTTTATCCCAGTCATAATATTCCCGAGTAAGGTAATCATTAATAAACACTTTCAACGTCATCAACTTTTAATAATAATATCTTACCTGTATTTGATCTGACATCAATTCGGCTATATTTCCGGCCAAATTCTGCAGGAATCCTTCAGATACTTTGCCAATAATCCCATGATCAAAAAAAAAGAAAAGTGGACCTCGTGCAGCTCGCGTCTTGCCAGCTAACAGCATCATCATCATCATCATCATCAGATTTACAGACATCTGCATCTAAAATAATAATTAGATATCCAAAGCCAATAGTAAATCTCAATGTCATAGTAAACCCGATGGCACTATAATCTTCACCTAGTCGTGCATAATTGAAGAATGAAGATGACTGGCATGAGTGTCCTTCTTCTGGCTATAACCGCTATATATTATACATTCTAGTGAAACCATATTCCATATTCAACAGACAAGCCCTAAAAATTTAAAATATCTAGATTTTTACCTTGATAATAGTCGGGGATAACTTGTCGTAGAATATTTTGTCCAAGTTCTATTCGAAAAGCGGAAAAGAACAAAGCTGCTGATGGAAATGGCCAGGCATTATTTTAGATCTACGAGGCACTCCTTTTTTTTTTAAAACCGTACCATTTGTTTTGTTTTCGTGAAAACTGCAGTGCCATCGGTTCAGGTGTTTTGGTATGTAGTATCATGTTCATGTTTAGTCTACTACGTCAAACTTTCACTCTCGTATAGTTAAATGTTGACAAACGTGGGAAAGTCCAATATGTGACTGTGAACGAACAGTGAACAGGAGGGATGTTATGACAGGGCCCAAATATTGTGTGACCACACAATCATTGTGGTCGAGGATTATTTCTTATATGTGGGTTTCAGTTGTACGGTTGACCACAACAATGTTGAATGTTCACAGTTTTGATTTTACTTTACCTATTATGTGTGGCATATAAAGTAGAGTTAGTCACCTTCATTACCATAATATATTCGAATTTCAGTGACGCCAATTTGAAGAGGTACTTTATTAACCCGAAGCAAATTGCTTCCACGATGACGAAAGACCCTGCAGTGTCTGTGTTCATGATATTCATTGGATCACTCGGCGACGAGGCTGAACAGTGAGTAACACTTAATTCCACTTCTTTTTCCGAACAATTTCACAAATTGCTGAACTTTTAACTGTTAACACGCAAAATCGCTCGCAGAAAGTTCCCTTTTTGGACAATTTCGTCGTCAGCTCAAGTTTCATATTATGATTCAATATAATTAAACTTTAATTATTAAATTCACTATTATAAAATGGATACTATGATTTACACTGTACAGTCAAAATCGTAGCAACCATAATTAGAGTCAGTTGTTTATAATGTGATTTTATCAGTATTTAGATTTAGTATCAACATGTGTCATTCAGGTTGAGACGAGTTCTTCCTGGAGGGAAATCATTCGTTACCATGGATACCAAGGAAATGCCAACAATTCTTCAGCAGATTTTCACCTCTACCATGATTCAGTGATTTATGATTTTAAAACTAAACAGTGTTTACACTTGAATTTTTAATTCTATCCGAAAACTGTGAATCATTCACCTTTTGATTTAAAAAGTAGAACTGATAAAATTCAATCGCCATTGCATTGTATTACTATTATTGTGAACCAATTCGCTGCATCAATTGACTGTGACAGATGTAAATAGCAATAAGGGTTGAGTGTGTAATACCAAATTACCATCGTAGTACATATTGATATTATTAATTATGAATTGGGCTTCTGTCATTACCCTCACCTTCTTTATAAAGATTCAGTTTCCTATTTATTATATTGAAATAAGAAAAGTTGTGTTTAATTTTGCCTTATTTCGAACCAAAGACTTTGTAAAGGACCCTTACCATTAACCAAATTAAAAAGGTGATATTTTTACGAGCGTACTTAATCACTCTACAGTCGATCTTCGAGATTTTTCTAAAAGGGCCCAGCCCCGACAGTCGAAACCAACTTGGAGTTGGATCGATTTTATTTTCGAACGCTGATTCCGAATCACCCCCATGACAGGGTTAAAATGCTCCCCTGGCGAGATATTGGCGAAAAACTCGATCACGTGATATGACCGTATAACTAACTATAAGGAAGTTTGTCTAATTTCTCGTTAGGGTCTCAGCATATGATTTTGTTGGTATCAGATGAGAGGGTTATGGTGGGGGGGTACCAATGGCATAATGGAGAATTGGCCAAACAAAATTTCCATTTATGCCATGAAATTTCTATGCCATTTGATGAATTTTATGCCATTTGTCTCCATTCTATGCCATTCGAAATATTAAAACTTTGAACTGAGAATTTAATAACGAATAGTCTGCACCCCACTAGTACTGTCACCTTTATCTCTATTTGTTGTACTGACCCTGGTCATTAGAAACACCCCTAAAAGTTCGTTTTTTTACAAAAAATTGAAAACTTCTGTAATTTCATTTCTGTTTTAGTTACGCATTTGATTTTTGGTATGCGTATAGAAAATCGATACGGCTTTAAAATGAGATGTTCGGCGACCTCCTAGCTCACTCACTAGACTCAGTAGGAGTGATTTAACTGCGAGGGACAATTGAGGCTAACAAATTAGCCTCACCACTTTCAAAAAAGAACTTTCTCATGTTACGTCCATGATATTCAAGTTGCAAGTATAATCCATATTACCTGGGGACCTCAGGCTATTATGTTCATAAACATAGAGATTATGTTCATAAACATAGAGATTCGGCGGAATGACAGGCTGAGCGCGGCCCAGTAAAATCCATAGTGATTATACTTGATCGAGATCTAAGCTTTAAATATTCGAGGTGAAAATGAGGCTAACCACCTTTTGAGAGGGTGAAATGAGGCTAACAAGTACACTTTTGTGTATATTTTCGAGTTGGTTCGGTATTGTGACTATCTAATATGTCAACAATAAAGATTGATTCATCCTCTTCAAACTCAACATTTCAGAAATCGCCGAGTCTACTTGTAGGAGGCCAAAATGAGGCTAATAAAAAATTCGACCGCATTTTAACTTTAATGTACGGAAACAGGTTAACAACTCACAAGTTACTTGATATCTATGTTGCACATGAAATTCCGTCGGATTATAGCTTCAAATTTTTGAGGTGAAAATGAGGCTAACCACCTTGTGAGAGGGTGAAATGAGGCTAACAAGTCTACTTTTGTGTATATTTTCGAGCATGTTCGGTATTGTGACTATCTAATGTGTCAACAATAAAAATTTATTCATCCTCTTCAAGCTCAACATTTCAGAAATCGCAGAGTCTTCTTGTAGGAGGCCAAAATGAGGCTAATAAATGATTCGACCGCATTTTAAGTTGTAACTTTAATGTACGGAAACATGTTATAGACCCACTATAAAACTTGTAACTGTAGCCCGAAGGTTATTGAGACTTTATCGAAACTTATGCGAGGTTGGATTGAGGCTACCTTCCCTCCTTGAGGCAAAATTGAGGCTAACAGATACACTACGCAGACAATTGTCAATGTGCCAGCTATCAAGTAGTTGCTGAGCAGCAGCAGCAGTTAGATGAAGAAAATGAAGTTGAGGAAGGAAATGTATTAGAGCTGTTGGCTAGAGTAGGCCCCTTACTTCTATGGAGCTCTCTGGCCAATTGCTCTGGCAATGCTCTCCATGGGGCCATGTAATATCACATGATCTGATATCATATTCATGCCAAATTAGACTCTAAACTATAAAAGTATTATAAAAATGGAACTGTTTGAGAAAAAACATTTTTCGTTACTTGGAAAGAGAATACTTACTCAGCTGTCAGCATATCGAATCAGACGTACCTTGATCTTATATGTACAATTGTGACGGTCTTGTTTTGTATTTAACTCTGCTGAAGAAGCAATTCCCTAATGCTGAAATCGTCACTTATTACCTTGGAAGTGATCAGAATGAGCAGCTGTTTGCATTTATTCGGGTTTCTTTTTCATCTGGTCGCTCAAGAAATATGGATGCGATAACTATGGCCCATGGAATGGAGAGAAAGAATGTGTACAGTGCTTTATCATTACATGAAGACACATCTGCAATTGCACATGCACGTGGAAGTACAGTTTTGCATCCTACAGTTCACCTCAAAAAGGTTAAATCTACAGGCCAGAAAGCAGAACGAGTGAAATGGACTGGTGGTATGATAAGCCTAGGCAAGTTGGCAAAAACGCTGGACAGGGCATCGAGGGACTGCATTCGAGAAGGGAAAAGAAACAATTTCCCTGTGTTCGCCGCAGTCGCAGATCCTGAAGAACGGAGTGGGAAGCCAATCGTCCATGGCCAAGAACTTTCTTGGGAAGCTGTAGATGATGAAGCTGGATGCCTCGAGGATGAGGACGACTTAGCTTATGAGGTAGAACCTGGAGTTGATGATTGTGATGATGGAGAAACGATATCAACAGATAAATATGGAACACTATCCTTCCGGTCTTTTGAGACACTCACGCTCAATGGAGGAAGAAGCACTTTATCAACAAAATCTCGTCTTTCAAGATTCAAGGGGGACGCGTTTGGAGTGTCTTCTGATGTTCGCATATACAATCAACCTGAATGCGGATGTTCAACAGTTTTGAAAGCTGGCAGTACAGAAACTCTTAAAGTCTTCAAATCTCAGCAGGACTTTGCAACAGGAGTGGTTAGATTTATTTCTTATAAGTCATGCCCCATGAAGTACTACTGCCAGGAACATAGCCTAATCAATGGATCTCCTAATGTTTGGCTACTCGTCGAAGACAAATACATCAGATGCATTGTTCCTTGATGACATTCAAAATCGTTGTGTTGTCAATGTTTGTATTCTGTACATTTTAAACATCTCACAATTTGCTTTTCTTGAATAGTGAAATGTTTGGTATATATTTGATATAATACATTTCTATTTTCTTTATTTGTCATGAAACATGTCTCTTATTCAAGTACTAATAATATTTGCGAATTTAAAGTCATCCTAAAGGTCAAATATGAAGACCTAAATTCATGGCATAAATTGGCATAAATGGAGAATTGGCCAAACAAAATTTCCATTTATGCCATGAAATTTCTATGCCATTTGATGAATTTTATGCCATTTGTCTCCATTCTATGCCATTGGTACCCCCCCGTTATGGTTTCGAATAGTCGTTTAGGGCCAGCTACTGCTAGAGAACAGGTTGAAAAATTCTCGTGACAGTCGATCGAATGTAGACCAGTACACAGTAGAGTGATTATTTTTAACCAAAACAACTGGATGGCTAGTTGTCGCCATCCAGCGCTAGTTGTCGCGTTTACACTATCGGCATCGCAAAAGAACCGATCAATGATCGGTAAACATTTGCAATGCTATAGTTTATCTCATGAGGTTTATTTGTTTAAATCTAATAGCATTAAGAAGAAGACTCAAAAACATGGAAAAAACATGACAAGACTATTAAAAATATGTCAGTCCGAAAAACGAAACACAATCCGGGAAAAGTTGTGTTATTTTGATGCTAAGTAACAGAAAGGTAGCATGTTTGAAATAGTTTGCATATTTTACAAGACAGCCATCATCTCGTGAGGTCGATTGGAGAAAAAGTTTAACTCAATAAAGTTATAACTTATACTTATAGTTTTTCTATTATATTTATTGTTTTTAATTTTATATTGCTGTTTTTTTTTAAATATTATATTACTGTTTTAAGGTATTTACTTTTTTATTATTAAAACTTACTTACTTTTATAGTCGTTGTCCTGCACCGAAGAACTTATGTCATACCTATCATTTGCCTGATGTTTCCCTGAATATCTATTTTTTAAATTTTGGAATGTTATGTTTTGTTAAGGTTTATTTGGTTTTTGAAGGGAGTAATTTCAATAATAGGATTGTTAAGAATTGCATATTAATTATTATGTGGATTTGAAAGTATATAACTTCAGTCCGAGAATTTCTATTTTAATCTTTAGATCTCACAATAATATTTTAGAAGGACCCCATGCTAACGTTCAACACTTCCTCCTTCTCCACCTCGATAAGTGACTCTGACTATGGGATCCCAGCTCCAGCCATAAAACTGATTTTGATCCCGTATTTGTTCAGCGCGGTTGTCTTAGGACTTCTAGGAAACGGTATCGTTATAAGAAGCACCTTCAGTGTCAATGTCTGGAAATTTGACGAAACACTCATCACTCTTCTTCGATATCTTGCAATGACAGATGCAGGTCTGACCATTTTCCACATCCTACCCCAAAGCATCAGTCTGTTTGCTGATTCCTGGATCCTAAAAGAAGTTGGAATCATCATTGCTTTTGTGAGGTATCCTCTCTTCATGATGGAGATGAGTTTGGTCCTGGGTTTGTCTCTGGCTAAGCTGGTTATGATCCTGCGCCCATGCAACTGCCACTCCGACATGCTCCTGGCTACAAAGATCATTTCTCCTTTGATTTTCCTCTTCTTTCTGATTATCGACTACTCAAAGATCTTCAGATGCTTCTTTAATGAAAACACCACGTGCTACTCCTACTACAAACCAAACCTTCTGAGATGTTCCTTCAAAACGGACGACCGATTTGGTGGCTTACTCAAAATAATCTACGGATTGATTGTGATGGGTCTTCTTATTCTCACCAACCTTGCCATCCTTTTCTTCGTTTGGAAAGCACAACGTGAACGGCCAGCTGGTACTCCATTTCCTGGCAAAAAAGGTGGAATGAAAGCAATCGCTGTGGTCTCAACAGTTTGCTGGATCTTCATGATATCATATCTCCCATTTCTTCTCATAAGCAAACATCTCAATATCCACGCCGAGTCGGAGATTGTGAAGTTTGCTTC